GACGTTTTGCGTCGCCTCTTTGACACCTACGCCACAATCCATATCCTCCTTTACACCTGTTCCATGCAAACAAATCTTCTGGCTTACCCATCAGGACCGAGGGACACCTACCGGCAAGATACAATAACAAGGCAAGGCACACCGGCATGGTACAATCCGATGTGATCTGACCAGCAAAAACAATGCGACGCATTCTTGCTAATTCATTATGCCTAGATTGAGCTCTCTATTCATATCGTTAATCACTTTCATCTCTGTTTCTGTGTAGTTGACTCGCTTTACCGGTGCTGACAAATGCTTTCAGGTAGTCCAAGCGGCCACACAATGATCACTACTGCGGTATGGTACATCGTTGTTTGGGCATACATTAAGTACGTGATTGGAAAATCGAGACAAAGGTAAAAAATATTTAATAGGAGACAAATAAGAACGACTTATTTCAGATTCTTATTGAGTACTTGCGCTTGGTGCCTTTATGGTTTATTGTTTGTGCTGGTTGCTGTTTCTCGTCTGTACATTGGAGCTCATTTCCCTCACCAAGTGCTTCTTGGCGGTATTATCGGTATGGTTATTTAATGTTATTGGCAATTTTTATATTCTGTTGATTAAGTCAGCTGTGATGTGTGTCATGGCAAACTGCAGCCATTAAACACGTAGATACATCAGATAGCAAAACGATTAGTCCAGCTCGCCAATGCATGATCCCACCAAAGGCCACACTATCCCTGTTGCACACACTCATCGACGTTAATACAGTTTCTCAAACTGTCGACATGCGTCCCCGTTTCATCGCTGTCTCCAAAAGTTTTCGGTTGGGGTCAGATTTCTTGTTAAACGAATCACACGATTGGTAACACATCTGCTTTCATGTAAATGCTGTTGGCTGTCAGCCACGGACCCAGCTTGATCCCGAAATCCCGAAAGGCCTCTTGAATAGCGAGTGCTTAATTTTCAGACTCAGAATGTACTTCATATGACAGATGTTCAGAACATGATAATGCCTTTTACCACAAATATTTTCGTGCATATTCCGTCTACCCGGGATGCAGATGAGCCTAGAGGCTCTGGCAGGTTTAACCATGTAGCAAAATCTTTAGAAACGTGTCCCTCAAAATGGTTGACTAGGGCGTAATGAGTTATGGCCAGATTCTCCTACATGATATCACAACCCAAACCAACACTTTCATTCCCATTAGACTGGATTGCCACCGGCGAAAGCAGCAGCTGATCGGTCATGAAAGCAGACGGCGCTGAGAAGCTCCGGTTACGGATGAGAACTGCCACGTTTTATTCACGTTGGCAACATACAACCGCAGATCAATTCTGTGGGAAGCAATACTTCATTGCCTGGAAAAAGAACTTAATGGGAAAAACGTAAATGGAACATTGTGAGTCACGTTTGCGTTTTAATCGCCTATTCTCTGTAAAACAGGAAGTGTCCACAATTAAGATTTAAACATCCCTCATCCTCTCGTTTATTGTCCACTTAAGAATAAAAAATAATATGGTACAGGTGGACAGCACTTAAGAGATATGCACAAGACTGGTTCTGAGTGTTTAAAAAAGTATGAACTCAAAGTAGTCCCGGCATGTGCGTCGAATCAAAGCATTCTGCTGAAGAAATTGATGATTTTATGAAGAACTAAAACAACTGCACGAAACTGGAAACGCTCGTTTGCAATTTCATCATTGGTGATTTTAACGTCAAAATTAAACGGCGGCATGGAATTGGCGATACAAGGAGATTGACGAAAGAAGTGACTACTTAAAGAAATTTTTTGACAAGAACACGTTTTTATCATTAACACTGTTTTCCAAAAAAAGCTGACAAAGCGGATATGAAAAGGTGCAAATGGCATCAAGACTAAAACTTATATTTCAATGAAGCAAGCAAGCAAAATGGGTGACCAGAACAGGATACTGTGGGAGGAATAGGTTTATTACAAGAGACGGATACTTACTCGTCCGAGGTCGCTTGAAATCAGAACTGGAAAGAAGAAGGCTGATCAAGAAAAGACGCAACGCGATTGAGGTGCAAACGCTTTCGAAGAACCTTCCGCTCCTTCAGTTCAAATTATATAGGCGAAATTCAAAGGTCATCCAGATGTACAAGAGGAAGAAACAGTTAGCATTTATATAACTTATTCAGAAATAGCTAAACGCGATTTGGTATAGGCGATTACGGTTACGGAACCACTGGAAAGCATGTCTGGATAGAAGCATGATCTACTAATATATGGACTCAGGAGCGAGAGCTGAAATCCATAGAATTA